CCGTGACACCACACACGCCCTCCACCTCCTCCAGAACTTCCAATTCCCCGGTCCCCAACACCTCATCTTTACCATGGACGTCCAGTCCCTATACACCTGCATTCCCCGTACAGATGGCCTAAAGGTCCTCCGCTTCTTCCTGTCCCGCAGGCCCAACCAGTCCCCCTCCATTGACACCCTCATCCATTTAGACGAACTCGTCCTCACCCTCAACAACTTCTCTCTCAATTCCTCCCACTTCCTACAGACAAAGGGGGTGGCCATGGGTACCTGCATGGGCCCAAGCTACGCCTGCCTCTTTGTAGGTTACGTGGAACAATCCCTCTTCCGTACCTACACTGGCCCTAAACACCACCTCTTCCTCTGTTACATTGATGACTGTATCGGCGCCACCTCGTACTCCCACGAGGAGCTCGAACAGTTCATCCACTTCACCAACACCTTCCACCCCAACCTTAAGTTCACCTGGACCATCTCTAATACCTCTCTCTCCTTCCTGGACCTCTCTGTCTCCATCTCTGGCAACCACCTAGAAACTAATATTCATTTCAAGCCCACCGACTCCCACAGCTACCGAGAATACACCTCCTCCCACCCACCTTCCTGCAAAAATGCCATCCCCTATTCCCAATTCCTTCGCCTCCGCCGCATCTGCTCCCAGGATGAGGCATTCCACTCCCGTACATCTCAGGTGTCCTCGTTTTTCAAGGACCGCAACTTCCCCCCCTCAGTGGTCGAGAACGCCCTCCACTATGTCTCCCACATTTCCCGCAACTCATCCCTCACTCCCCGTCCCCTCAATAACAACCAAAAAAGAATCCCCCTCGTCCTCACATATCACCCCACCAACCTCCGGATCCAACGCATCATCCTCTGACACTTCCGCCATCTGCAATCTGACCCCACCACCAAAGACATTTTTCCCTCCCCACCCTTATCTGCTTTCCAGAGGGACCACTCTCTCCGTGACTCCCTTGTCCGCTCCACACTCCCCTCCAGCCCCACCACACCCGGCACTTTTCCCTGCAACCGCAGTAAGTGCTACACCTGCCCCCATACCTCCTTCCCCACCCCCAACCCAGGCCCCAAGAAGGCTTTCCACATCAAGGAGAGGTTCACCTGCACATCTGCCAATGTGGTATACTGCATCCGCTGTACCCGTTGTGGCCTCCTCTACATCGGGGAAACCAAACGGAGGCTCTGGAACCGCTTTGCAGAACACCGATGCTCGGTTCGCAATAAACAACTGCACTTCCCAGTCGTGAACCATTTCAACTCCCCCTCCCATTCCTCAGATGACATGTCCATCCTGGGCCTCCTGCAGTGCCACAACGATGCCACCTGAAGGTTGCAGGAACAGCAACTCATATTCCGCTTGGGAACCCTGCAGCCCAGTGGTATCAATGTGGATTTCACAAGCTTCAAAATCTCCCCTCCCCGTACCGCACGCCAATACCAGCCCAGCTCGTACCTGCCTCCCTAACCTGTTCTTCCTCCCACCTATCCCCTCCTCCCACCTCAAACCGCACCCCCATCTCCTACCTACTAACCTCATCCCGCCCCCTTGACCTGTCCGTCCTCCCTGGACTGACCTATCCCCTCCCTAACTCCCCACCTACACTCACCTTTACTGGCTCCATCCCCGCCTCTTCGACCTGTCTATTTCCTCTCCACCTATCTTCTCCTCTATCCATCTTCTATCCGCCTCCCCCTCTCTCCCTATTTATTTCAGAACCCCCCTTCCCCTCCCCCATTTCTGATGAAGGGGGTCTAGGCCGAAACGTCAGCCTTCCTGCTCCTATGATGCTGGTTGGCCTGCTGTGTTCATCCAGCTCTGCACCTTGTTGTCTCGGATTCTCCTGCATCTGCAGTTCCTACTATCTCTTACTTTGGAATAGTTTATTTAACAATCATGTTGTGAATTGTGAAGACATTTGGTTATGTTTATGCTTATTGTTTTCCTAGAGTGTGCCTTTATTCACTCTTCCTAGTTTTGCACAATTACCTTGCAGAGAATAGATTGAGCTTATTTAGCCTCGCTTGATAGTTCACGAGCAAATACTTGGAACTATCTATCATTTTAATGGGACTTCTGCTAAGGCTAGAGAACCAATTTATTTTAAGAGATTTGCAGAAACAAGGTAATCACTCTACTTGGTTCTGCCATGTTGTGGCATTATTACTCTTAATATTGTATCACAACTGATGGTAGCCAAGAGCAATAGTGAGCTGCAAATCCCACAGCTTCTAAAGTGACCCAGAGGTATTATAGTGACCAAAGAACATCGTAGAAATAAACAAGACTGCTCCACCTATCAACCTCTCAACTACTTATTGTATATTCAGGAACTGCTCAGGATATTTTTAATAGTCTGTTTGACACTTAATCCATGATCCCTGTACATCCTATAGAATGGTAAGCTCACTTTTGTCATGTTTCAGTTAATATTCTGACCTGGACATTAGTGACTAGTTACATCTTATGTTACTTTTTGTTCAAAACTTTCTCATGTCATTATTGTGTCCCAGTTCTTCTGCTTTAGTGCAAAGAGCAATGTTTCAGTAAAACACTATTGTAATTCTATCCTCCCTATACGATTTTTCTAGCTAATTCATTGTTCAGGTTATTGGCTGGGAGCCTGGAAATGCATATTCCTGTTTTTTTGTTCCTTTTTGATTTATAGTTTACCTGATATAACTTGTGTAGTCGTAACACACAAACGAAAACCAGCTTGATCCCCATTCTTCTTACACAGCTTATTGAAGATGTAGCCTTCTGATGTTCATTAACAATTAAAAAAGGGATCACACCCTCGCAGTGCAGTTGGAACCACAAACTGCCTGAAAAGTTGTGACATGTGAGGAGATAGTAAATCATGTAAGACTCTCACTGGGACATCAAAATTCGAGCAAACAAAAAAGTCACAATGTAGGGGTTTCTATGAATTACACTGTTTATAACTTGTGATTGGTCAGTATGCATTTGTATCCCTGTAAGCTTCCCGTAGTCAATTTCTAATCTGGGGCAAAATTATTAGGAGGAGAGGTGATGTGGGGAAGAGGGGTGAATGAAATAGACAAGGTATTTTCTCATAGAAAGGGAGATATGGCAGAAAATGGAAGATAGGGTACAGTTAATCCAGATTACTTTCATACACTTCATTGTTACAGTCACAAAGCTTCCTCAATAGTTCTAGACGGAAAATGGAAGAAAGACTAAATGATATACAAAGAAGCGGGAAAAGAAAGAAAGCTTAAAATTAATAACAATAGTTACTTGTGTTATGCATTTCATATAAAAACAAAATACATATTTTTCTTTATTTAAGGCCAGGAATTGGGAGTAAAGTGCTTCATTGTGATATAATGGAGGTAATTTTAAAAAATAAATTATATATAATCTGGGTCCATATGAATATTTTCAACAGCTGTGCATTTTGACTATTTCAAGCAGGCTCTGCAACCTGAATTTCTCTCCCAACATTCAAGTATATGTCAGAATCATCCCACTAGGGCAGAAATCACAGCAAACAAGAGCTTGCATCTACTAAATCCAGCAACACCTTTTAAGGCAAGCACATCCCCAATTTGAAGAACCATCTTTATGAGATCATTAGGGTAGAATAGAAGTTCTGGAAATGCAGAAATATTGGGATTTTATCATCATGTGCAGTGGAGAGGCTTTCAACAATATGGTGTAAAATTGTTTATCGATAGTTATGGAACAAAGCTTCCTCTGGCCTGCAATATGTAGAAACATCATCAATGTGCTCTTTTAAATATGTTTATAATTTTGCTGAAAGCAATAAACTGACAAGGCTTTGATGAACAAACTTACAAACTTCCAACACACCAATGACCCTCGAAGAATTTTTAGAGAAGTATCTCTCTGACAATTTAAGCTGATTTGCAACCAAACAAAACCAGGAAAGATGATCCTACAAGTTCCTTATAAACAGGATGCAAACGCTATCAATGAATGAAGTCTTTTCTCAGAATAATTTCTAGTATTTCCCCAGGCTTTGATGTTGCACTGAATAAATATATGAATTAACAGAAAGCAGAATCAAATTAAGATACTATCAAAGCATTGAAGAAAACAAAAATGCTCCAAAATATCTCAAATGTAATGACACTAAAAACCCAACTACCATTTATGGTAATCTCTCTCATTGGCCTTCCCCTTCTTCAGTTGTTTGTATAAGAGCGAAGGGTACCTATGATTGGGTATTTCATTGAAAAAAATTATTTTTCTGCTTTCTTTTAATTTTGTTCCACTGCCTTGTGGCATAGGAGAGGAATAGCATGGATACACTTCAGGAGAAGTTTGATAAGTACTTAAAAGTGTAAGGAATGGAAGGTTATGATGCTAGACTGAGATAAAATAGGGTGGAAGAAGTTCATGTGAGGTATAAACACTCTTATTTTCAGTTGAGCTGAATGGCCTATTTCTGTGCTACAAGGTCTATGTAATGGTATGGTGTCATTTCAGCAACAGTTAAATTTGATTTTTACATAAATATTTACCAGTAAACAATAATAACATTAAACCATAGTTTATTTGAGGTGTCTGGTGGGCCTATTTATTCAGTGTTGTTAATGATATGGGGTTCCTGTGCCAAATATATGCTTTACTTCAGCAAGAAGCTGACAGTTCTTGTTCAAATAATAAATTTTAACTTCAACATGCAGTTGGCATCTGTGAAAGTCCCTTGCCATAAAAAATCAGCCTCAAAGCACTATTGCCTTTTTTTTAGAAAAAAGCAAACACAATTTCTTTTCAAAATGAACAGGCTTTATTCTTTGTGACCACAAAGTTTGTCTGTCACAGTGAAAACATTATAGTGTGCAACAGACTGATAATCATGTGTCTACTAGAAAGGAAAATAAATAAAAATTATCGAGGCTGATCCAATTTAAATTCTAAAGTTAACTAAGTGGACAGTGTGGTAATAATGGACAGGACAGCATTTCCTGAACACTGACTGTAGCCGTATGCAAAGTTGCTTGCTGATCATAACTTTGGATTTGGCATTTCTGTCTGGTTCTTCAAAAAGACTCCAAAATTTTGAATGATATGTGTATAATGTACATATATTAGTCAGCCAAGACCTGTTCCTCTGGCCTCACTTCCAATCCTGCCCCTGAGAGTTTTCCAATGTATTTTGCTAATTTCTGCAAATCCTGCTGTTGTGGTCTGCCCTGGTCTTGATCCCGTTGACAGGAAATAAGATGACACCTTACTAGGCCCTCACAGAATCATGAAAGTAAGCACCATATAATGTATGGACAGTGTGGCTGAATTCCCATCAGTCTTTGGTCTGTGACTCTTTCTTACTCAGTAACTCAAAGCCATAAAGTAGGTTCATAATATATAAAAAGCCCAAAATATTTTTCTATTGATCTACCACAACACACCAGTACATACACACCAGGAGTGCACCGATTACAGTTCCCTCAAAATCAGCAGGCTGTAGACTGTAGTCCATTACACCAATGGCTTTAAAACCAGTGACTTTAGCCGATCAGTTTCCAGCAGATTTTCCAAACAAAAACTCATTCTTGACTTTAAATATCAGCATGGTTTAATTGAAAGTAGCATTTTTACTGGTTATCTTTGCATATTGGAATAACTACATTGTTTTACACGTTAATGGTCTTGATATGTTTAGACCACAGCACTGTATGCGGAGTAACTTAAATGACTTAATTCTTTGTTCATTTCTAAAAAAAACCTTATCTTTTCTAACTTTGTTAAGAGTCAAAAAGTAGCAAATGCTATTAGTGACCCAATGTTGTCATTGCTTTCAAATCACTTTTTCTCAAATATTCCGATTGCCAATTGTTTAACCTTCTGGAATGTTGTGGGAATTAATTAATTAATATCTCCATCTATATTACTAAAAGACTGTCCACTCTTCAATAAAGCAAACATTACTCCAACCCATCTGGTCCTTTAGGGAAGGAAACTGCCATCCTTACTTTGTCTGGACTACATGTGACCCCAGACTTGCAGCAATGCAGTTGACTCATAACTGTCCTCTGGTCTATTAGGGATCGGCAATAAACGCTGGTGTAGCCAATGACGCCCTCATCCCGTGAATGAATAGAGAAAAAAAAGTCCTACCACTCAGACTCCAAATTGCTGATTCAAAGAATGCCCACAGAATTCCCTACCTAGTGAGCCTGACCTGTCTGAAAGGTGACAAAAGAAGATCAGGCATTATATTACAGGTAAAAGGAAAGGGGAATGCTCATTTTTCCTCATAAATACACCTGTGGAGACCAGTGTCATGTTTCTAAAGAAGTAACTGGTTCATCAACAAGATTCTCGGAAACCTGGAGCAGGTCTCCAGATGATGTAGATGGCTGGATATGAGTGGCATTGAGGTGAGACAAAAGGAAGAAAATATAAATGAAGATAACTCTCTCAAAATTCTTCAAAATCTTTTCAGGTGATGGTTAAGGATAATAACCACAGTAACGAACAAAAAACTCAAAATGAATATTTTAGGGGTGAAAAATTAAAATGATGCAATAACTTTTAACAATCAAACTCTGAAATATTATTTAAGTTACAATAAGAGAGATCTTGCATTTATGCAGCTTCTTATCAGCTCTCTCAAAAACACCTCACATATAATCAAATAATTTGAAAGTGTCATCATCAATGTTGTGTATGGAAATGTGATAGTTCATGTTGTCTGTTTTTTGATGGTTATGTTGGTTAACGGAGGCACATGTTCTTTGAATAGTGCCATAGGTTTATTTATATCCACAACAGCAGATAGAGGATGAATTTAACATCTTATTAAAATGGTCGCATCTCTGAAAAGGTCATACTCCCTCAATGCTGCACCAAAGTACTCGTCAAGACTAATTCAATTAATTTCCCAAAAACCAAAATTGAATTAAAAATGGAAGCATTTATTAATAAGTTGACTTTTAATGACGTCAGGTTTTTTTAAAAAAAAACAATAACTGGGATACATTAGTAGTGTACCACAAAAAATCCCTCAAAATGGGATTGTTGTGATTACTGACAACTGCCAACACACCAATTTGTTGCTAAAAGTTAGCAAATAAATGAGCCGTACCTTGCCATACCATCTGCTAAGCCATTTCTTTTCTTTCCTAATATACTCAATCAAAGCACCTACAGTCCAAAACCTGATGATTATTGGGTTCAATGTCAGTACTGGATATTGATCAGTTTACACATTTTGTAATCTTTGCACTCCAAATTACACACATGAAACTTAAAAATAATGTGCTTTCCTTGCTGAGTGCATTCAGTTAAGGCAAAGGCATACATTTGTTTTTACCCTCTTTGAACAGAGATGTTATAGCAATACGTCTCAGTATAAATTATTCCTGTTTTGTTTATAACCCCTATACTGAAACAATACTTTGAACAGGGTTTGAAGACAGTCAGCACAAAGTGTCTATTTAGGAGGCCTTTCCCATGATGTCCAGCAGGCTGACGCCACACAGCTATGGCCGCCAATAAATGTCCAAATTCAACAGGCCTGACATTGCTGGCAATACTTGTAGATTTCTGTCCCTGCAAAGGTTTATTTTTAATTTATTTTATAGACAGACACTACTGCTTATCCGACATGTGGAGCCCACTCCTGCTTGAGAAAGGAACAGTTTGCCATTTGGGCAAGCACACACCTCAAAAACATTTTGTTGAGTTGATGATGAGGAAGTGTATGAACCCATAGGTAGCCTGGGGAGTTTTATGTTTCTAGCTTCCAAATTGATCTGAAAGAGAGAGAAAAGTGAATAATGACATCTGTATAAAGAAATGCCATCTTTGAACAGTCCATGAGAATCTCAATCTCAGAACATCTTCGAAAAGCAAGCAGTTACAAAAAATTCTGATTAACATTAATGTCATTTTGTTTTCACAACCATTCTATCCAAACAGATGCAGACAATTGACTTGCATTATTGCGTTTAAAATTATAATATATATTAGCATATTGGCTGTCTGCTGAATCGTCCTTAGATTTATTTGGGAAAGTGGTGGTACAATGATAATGTCACTACATACGTACCTAGGGAACAAGGCTAATGGTCTCTGGACATAGGTTCAATTCATAAATGTGGAATTAAAAGATAGTCTCATGATGGCCATGAAACAAGGTGAGTAGCAATCGTCTTTTCCGTAGGATGGGGACAGTTCAAAACCAGGGTGCATATTCTTAAGGTGAGCGGAAAAAGATTTAAAAGAGACCTGAGGGACAAATTTTTTCACACAGAGGATGGTTCGTATGTGAATGAACTGCCAGAGGAAGTGGTAGATATAAGTACAGTTACAACATTTAAAAGACATTTGGATAAGTACATGAACATGGAAGGTTTAGAGGGACATGGGCCAAACGCAAGCATGTGAGACTAGTTTAGTTTGGGAAACTTGGTTGGTTTGGATGAGTTGGACTGAAGGGTCTGTTTCCATGCTGTATGATTCTATAATTGTTGACTGTTATAAAAACCAAGCTGTTTCTTAAATGTCCTTTAGGGAAGAAACACCCCATGATTCTTAAACGACCTTTGAAATGGCAGAGATATCCATTTGGTTCTATCAAACCACTATGACTTTTTAACAATTCAGTCAGGAGATTGAGTGTTGATAGTAAGCCTGTCTGTGTACTTCTAACATGGTTAGGTTCCATTGGATTGGATTCAGATAGATGAAGAATGCCAACATTTGCCACAAGACACTGGGTGGCATGTTATTTTGAAGTGGTGAGGAAGGTGGCAAGCTGCCATCCTGTTTGGACTGAATAATGTACAACTCAGACTGTGCAGGAGGCAGTGACTGCCACATTGATCTCAACTCAGTTCCCCCTCACACGGCCCTGTTGTTATGTCTTGTCTAACTGGTGTCAGCATCCCTGGACACCACTCGCCTGTGGCTGGTGAGCTGACAGCCTTCAAATTAGGCTGATTAATTTGCAATCATTAGAAAAAGGGGCTCTGGTCCCACAAGACCCCCAACACCACCACCACTACCACTACCACCACCATCCCAGCCCATTCAAATTCTATCCTCAATCTTTGTACTTAGTTCATGCTTACAAGTCAGGCCTATCCAATTTCACTGCCAATCTGAAGCTAATTTTACAAATAAGGTGCATTCTCTACAAGTCTGAAGATGCAGACCTAATGCATACTTCATGACACTGCTGAAGCAAGTCAAACCTCCAACCTGATAGCCTCATTATTTCGTAATGTTTTATTGAAGGCATCTTATGTGCTGTGATTTGAATTTCACTAAGAACTAAATTGAAACTGTCACATCATTATTTTCAAAAACCTGGTGCAACTGGGAGATATGGGAGAAAACTCTCTTTGTGTTTTCCCTTAAATTTCCAAACATCCTTTAAGATAACATAAAAACTGGATAAACATAGTCAATATAGTCAGATGGCATAGTGATCTTTCTTTGTTAAAAGTTTTGCAACTATTTTTAAAATTTCCCCGTCTCAAAAGAACAAAATGGGTTAGAAAATTCTTGCCATATATGTACTTGTTTTTGCATTCATATAGAATATGTGAACATTTCAGAATTAAATTTTTCAGATTTAATATTTGAATAGCAAATATATCCTAACGCACTCACCTCACCATCTTCAGATTCCAATTTCAATTCTGTTCGACAAATAGCCTGCATGTTACCCGCCTCTGCATGGATCTCAACTCCTTTTGGTGCCTCCAGTATTAGTGAACGTGTAGGTGATTCTAGTCTAGGGCCACAAAATGTTGGAATTAGCTGCAGTATTTGTCAGTATTTTCCTTCAGCTGAGAGTTACAGAATGAATACATATGGAGAACCCGACTCTTTTGTAATAATGTAAATTCCTCTGTGGCACTTCTATCAAGTTTGAAGAAATGATAGATTGACAGATGATAGATGTATTTAATCAAACAGGCCAAGGGTTAACCCTTTGAAACAATTATTCAATGTAAATGAGATTTTATATTTATTTGCACTATGTCTAGAGATACATTGATTCAAGAGACCTATCCTACCGTAGATGTTCATCAAATGCCTGTAAACCAATGGGCAATGGGATGCATTGTATCATTTCTGAATGGGGGAAGATTCAGACATTTCCTGTTCAACAGAAACAAAGCTGTGATGACCAAAAACAGAAGGAGTCTGATTTATGCCTTATTCATGCTGAAGATGTGGGCAATACAACACTCCAAAGGACCAGCTACTGACCCAGGTGATTGCTATCTAACCTGTTTTACAGTCATAGAGTCATACAGCATGGAAACAGACCCTTCAGTCGAACTAGTCCATGCCGATCATAATCCCAAACTAATCTAGTCTCATCTGCCTGCTCCTAGCCCATATCCTCCAAACCTTTCCTATTCCTGTTACCACATAGCCTGCCATTACACACCCCCTGTTGTTAGTCACTAACAGTCCCCATTAACAACTATTCACCCTCCCAGCCTGATCGTTAGCAACTCCTTTGTCTGTCCAACTGTCTTTCTCTGTCTTTGGGGTCTATCCTATCGCTTAGTCCCTGCCCCACTCACCTCCCTATTTTCTGCATATAAACTGATGACTTCCCAGCCACCATCAGTTCTGAGGAAGGGTCACTGCACCCGAAACATTAACTCTGTTTTCTCCTTCACAGATGCTGCCAGACCTGCTGAGCTTTTCCAGCAACTTTGTTTTTGTTCCTGATTCACAGCATCCGCAGTTCTTTTGGTTTTTCTTTCCTATTCATGTACTTATCCAAATGTCTTTTAAATGTTGTAATGTACCCACATCCACCACTTCCTCTGGAAGTTCATTCCACACATGAACCACCCTCTGTATAAAAAATTTGCCCCTAATATCTTTTTAAAAATCTCTCTTCTCTCACCTGAAAAATGTGCCCCTAGTCTTGAAATCCCCCATCCTAGGGAAAAGACAACTACTATTAACTCTATCTGTACCCCTCATTATTTTATAAACTTGTGTAAAGTCGCCTGTCAACCTCCTGCGCTCCTGTGAAAATAGTCACAGCCTATTCAGCCTTTCTTTATAATTCAAAACTTCCATATCCGCCAGCATCCTAGTAAATCTCTTCAGAACTCTTTCCAGCTTAATAATATCCTTCCTATAACGGGGCAACCAGAACTGGACACATCACAAGTAAGCTCCATCCAACAGATACAAAGGACTGTCCCTGGAAGGAGCTAACCAGAGTTACACAGCATACCTTAACTGGTTTTGATTCTACTCTGACTCTGGATTTGTTACCAATACGGTGTGAGAATGTTTTAGTAGCTGTGATGTTAAGCTACATTAAATTACTCCTAAGTTGAGCAGATGTCTCACAAGAGACAATCATGTATCTTAGATGTAACGTGACTATATTAAGTAATATGCAATAAACCTATTTACTGTTCGTAAGATTGAGTCTATCTTCAGTTTAAGATGTCGCATGGGCATACTATCCCACATGATATCAGTAGCCCAAGATAGCCCAGATGATAATTGACATTATAAGGTGGAGACAGGAGTGAAGATTTACTAATTATGAGAGTGCTAGGTCACCTTACTATGTAAATCAGAGTTGTAAGATGAATGTTAAACCTTGGGGCCATCTTAAGACTCAGTTAGGCAGAATGTATACCACAGTGCTCCAGGAGTGTAGAAGATGATTGTTTTTATTTTTGTCGGTCAAGTGATCTCCAGAATTATCCTGGGCTCATGCAGCAGAATATTTCTAACTTGAGAACAGATCTTTCCTGAATTATCTTTTGACCAGGACCAGAGAGTGGTTGAATCATCCAATACGTGATAGTTTGAATCCATTGTGGGTGGCCCTAGGTTGTCTGATTTCTACATGCAACCCACCAGCCATACAAAATGAGACCTGGCTTGCAAAATAGCCCTAACCTTCTGTCAGCAATGTGGGCAGGGACTGGACATTGTGCTCATTCAGCTGGCCACCTGAACCACATGGACGCAAATCTACCTTAATACTGAAAACAAAGGCCTTAAGAAATCTACAAGATTTCAAGAGGCACTTGTCCATGCTGACCAGATATCCTAAATTAATCCAGTCCCATTTGCTAGCATTTGGCCCATATCCCTCTAAACCATTACTGTTCATGTATCCATCCAGATGCCTTTTAAGTGTTGTTATTGTACCAGCCTCCATCACTCCCTCTGGCAGCTCATTCCAGGCACACGCAACCTTCTATGTGAAAAAGTTGTCCCTTAGGTCTCATTAAATCTTTTCCTTCTCACCTTAAACCTACACCCTCCAGCTTTCGACTCCCCTACCCTGGAAAAAAGGCCTTGGGTATTTACCCTAACCATGCCCCTCCGGATTTTATAAACTTTTATAAGGTCATCCCTCAGCCTCTGGTGCTACAAGAAAAATAGCCCCAGTCTATTCAGCCTCTCCCTATAGCTCAAACCCTCCAACTCTGGCAACATCCTTGTAAATCGTTTTTGAACACTTCCAAGTTTAACCTCATATTTTCTATAGCAGGGAGACCAGGATTGAACACAATATTCCAAAAGTAGCTGAATCAATGTCCCAAATAGCCACAACTTGACATCCCAACTCCTTTACTCAATACACTCACCAATAAAAGCATGTATACCAAACACCTTCTTCACAACCCTGCCTCCCTGTGGCTTCATCTTCAAGGAACTATGAACCTGCACCCCAAGGTCTCTTCATTCAGCAACACTCCCAGGACCCTACGTCATGTGTACAAGTCCTGCCCTGATTTGCCTTACCAAAGTGCAACACCTCACAACTGAATTAAATTTTATCTGCCTTTTCTCAGCCCATCAGCCTATCTAATTAAGGTCCCATTGTACTCTGTGATAATCTTCTTCACTATCCTCTACACCACCAACTTTGGTGTCACCATACCTCCTATATTCACACCCAAATCATTTATATAAATGACAAAAAGCAGTGGACCCAGCACTTATCCTTGTGGCACACTGCTGGTTAATTTCTTTTGTTTCTATGTTTAGCATTATGAAAAAAATTAATGATTACACCAAATTTCCAATGAGCGTGGAATAAAATTAACGCAGCAACTACTTAGAATCTGGCATGCATTGCTCAAGAGTGTGATGGAGGCAAATTCAATTGAGGCCTTTGAGAACTGGAAACTATCTGAAAAGAAAAATTGCAGGTTATATGGAAAAGTAGAACCAGCTGAGATGTTTTTGGTGAAAGCAGACATGGATGCAATGAACTGCACTGACCTCTTCTGTACTGACAATTTTCTATGATTTTAAAGGAGAACTATGCTTGAGGATTTGGAAGATTTGAAATTCAGCAAAGTATGCTCAAGAAATTGGTAAAGAAAGAAAATATAAAATATAAGCATAAATTAGCAAGTGACATCAAGAAGGTTGTAAAGAAGACATTAATAAAAGTCAATTTGGGTATGTTAAAGTTAGAGGAAGGAGAAAGTATAATGTGAAATAAAGCAATAACATTAAACAAATATATTGTAATTGTCTTCATGATAAAAGGCATAAAAACTTCCTGGATATAATGGGCAAAGGTCTTGTCTTAATGAAAAACTAAGAGAAATTATGTATCAGTAAAGAAATACGACTGGAGAAATATCTGACTAAAAGCTAAATTTAAAAAAGACCCTGGACCTAATAGCTTTAGCCATTGGGATTGAAGCAAGGTGGTGCAGATAAAGGATGTACTGGTATGGATCTTTCAGAATTCCCTAAATCCTAGAACAGTCCACATGGATTAGAAAGTAGCAAACATGACCTTACTACTCAGAAATAAGGATGAGAGAAAAGAAGGAACTATGGGCCAGTTAGGCCAACATCAGTATTAAAAGTTAAGTACTTGAATTCACAAAATCCATACTGGGGTGCAATAAAAGGACACTTGAAAAGTCCCAATACGGTTGAGCTGAATCAGCAAGGAATTATAAAAAGGAAATCACATTTGACAAGTCTATGAGAGAGTTGTGAGATTGTCACCAGTGGGATAGGTAGGCAAAAATAGTAGATGTACTGTATTAGAATTTTCAAAAACTGTTAGGTTGGACACAAAAGTTTGATATGAAAGATCAGAGTTATTGGGATTAGGGGATATTATAATGGAAGAAGGCATTTCTGGATTGGTGGGTTGTAAATAGTGGAATGTTATCAGGATCAGTGCTGCATCCTCAGCTATTTACAATTTATGTCAATAGATGAGGAAACTGACTGTAACATTTCCACAAAAGAATAGACTGCAGGATGCGGGAAATCTGAATCAAAACCAGAAAATACTCAGCAGGTTTAGGAGAATATGTGACGAGAGAAACAGTTAACATTTCAGTTTGATGGCTCTTCATCAGCACTCATGTATCAAGTTTGCTCATGATACAAACGCAAGAAGGCAGATTCACTATGAAGAGGATGCAAAGAAGCTGCAGAGATATATTAATTGAGTGGCAAGAAGGTGGCAGATGGAAAAAAAATGGAGAATTGTGCAGTTAAATATATTTTTAAAGAAATGTTTTTTGTTATTGATGAGAGACAATGGATGTCCTTGCATACAATCACAGAAAGTTGACATGCAGATAAAGCAAACAGTTAGGAAAGATAATGATATGTGACCGCATATTAGAAAGGAATTCTGGTTATGACCTATTGTAAACCCCATGCCAAGGCTGACTTCTTCTGTTGAAAATGAATCAGAGTTGACTTTTCATGTAATCGCTACCTTTCATTTTGAATGCCGAGCAAGAT